TATATATATATATACACATACATAAAGCCGCTTATTAATAAATAGCTGAAAGATAGCTATTAAGATACTCTGGGGCAAGCCTATTAATACATTTGAAAACACAAATGATTAAAACTCCTAAAACTGATTCTTTAGGTCTAAAGAGAGAAAAAAAGACATCTTTCTTGGGCCGAATTCATTTCAAATCTGACAAATTAAACACAGTCAGTTTGGCTATATTGGAGCAGATTTCACTCTGAAAGCAACTTCTTTCACTTTCTGTTGCTTGGTCGTAGTGATGTGCGGATCGATCCTCAAATATAGCTGTGGCTACAACTGTAGCTGCCTCCACCAGTGTGTGAATGTGAGAGTGAATGACTCGTGGAATTGTAAAGCGCTTTGAGGGCCCCGAAAAGTGCTATATAAATGCAATCCATTATTATTTATTATTATTATGATGTTCTGGGGTCATTATGAAGCTGTAATTTGAGATACAATAAAAGATACAATAAATAAAATAAGTTTTTGTACAAAGTATCGGATCAGTATCGTCGATACCACCCTGAATTTTACTTGGTATCTGATCGGAAAGGAAATCAGTGGTATCGCACATCACTACTTGGTGAGTAGTCAGACTGAAGAGTCCAACTATAGCTATGATATGATGGATTCTCTGAATGTCACTTATTTTTAAATTCAAAACTTTCTTCATCGTCTACAGCACGGCCGATGCTGCTTAACAAGTGTTTGTTTTGCTTTTGCAGTCAGACGAGTGGCCAATGTGTCATTATTATTTACTGCTCATATTTTTTTTTTTTTTTTTAACCCCTTATAGTCCCACATGTGGGAAATTTTGTAGTCCTCTGAATTTAACCCATTCACTCAGTGAAGCTGTTGGCAGCTACCACTCCAGTGCCCAGGGAGAGTGTGTAGAGACGGTACCTTGCTCAAGGGTACCTCAGGGAAGGTGTTCCCTGGACCTTCCGATCATGGGAGCGATCACTCTACCTACGGAGCTATCCCTGCCATAAACTATCCCATTGCTGGATTTGAGTCCTGTGCTCTACTCACATGTGATGATGAAATGAATTGGTGCTGACTCAAGAGAAGTGAATGTCCTTGATGGCAGCAGTAACTCATACACACAGCTGTAGTTGCCCCGGTGTTCATACTCAGCTGCAGGGAAACTAAAGCTGGCTGAGTGGTTGACTGCAGGCTCTGTGAGGTTCACGCCAGAGAAGAAGAGCCTGAAACGTCCTGGAGTATATCTGGAGTTAATGGAGCAGCTGAAGACGAAGCTGGAGCCCTTGGTGATCTCTGCACCTTCAGGACCCCAGACCAGTCCTCCATTAGGGGATGTCAGGGAGATGCTGGGCTGCTGCAGAGGGACTGGGTACAAAAGAAACAACACAAGAATGAACACCAGTGTTTCCACACATTTATTCATTATTGCCATGGAGCTCACGATGAGCAGCTGGCTATATTGCGGGACCAAGTCGAGTGGCAGACGGAGGTATGGAAGCGACTGGCAGGGGCTGTGGTGCTGGATCATCTGGGCCTCTCTCCCGACAACCACTGGCGACGGTTTTGGGCCAGTCGGATGACCAGAGGGGAGTGGCTGTTCGCCTGGGCATGTAAGTTGCAAGATGCAGCCGCGAGATGGCTACAGCCGGGACATTGGAGGAGGAGGCCCACATGCTCGCACAGATCATGCTGGAGCAGTTTGTGGAGGTGCTCCCTGGGCATACCGGGCGGTATGCCCAGGGTGCTCCCTGGGCGCACCTTACTGGCCAGAAGTTTGGAGACTTCTGGCCAGTAAGCCTGGAGCCAGAAGTCACCTTAGCCGAGGACGACCTGGCTGCTGGGATGGAGGAAGTGGAGCGGGGCGGCCAGCCTACCGGTCCCCGGCTGCCTGTCCCAGTGCCGTGGAAGAAGCTCCCTGCCCCAGCTGACACGAGCATGGAGCCCAACTAATCTGTGGCCCAGTCTCCTGCCCAGACCCCAGAAGCGCCTGACACCGCCTCAGAGCCACAGAGAGCAGCAGAGACGCCAGGGCAAGTGCGTTGGAAGCATGGGCGGCCGGGACACCTGAGGCAGGATTGTCTGCTTTTGGAGGTGGGCCGAAAAGATTTTTCACTGAAGCAGTCTTATGATGACACCCTACACTCAGCCTAGAAACAAGTGCAGATTTACCCGCATTTCCTATTACAGAGTGATAGGCTGTACTGAGTGAGTCATGACACTCACACCCACGAAACACAAACCGAATTCTTGGTGCTGCGAAGCTGCTGGGAAATGATTTTCCAGACGACTCATTATAACCCCAGGAAGGGGCATATGAGATGCAACAAAACTCTGGAGAGAACAATGACCCGATTTTATTGACCGTGCATCCGAGCAGACATGCGTGTCATGCCCGGAGTATCAGCTGGTTAACCAGCTGACCATTACAAAAGTTATTGAGCCCAGTACCATTAATGGAGGTCCCAGTCGAGTGCATTGGTGTGGACCTCATTGGGCTTTGTAATAGTTCTGGTGGATTATGCAAGATGAGTGCCGCTGCACACCACCTCTGCAAAGAGTGTGGCGCAAGCACTGTTTCAGGTCGTCTTCCGAGTCAACAGCTAACAGATCATCTGCATAGGAACGGCTTATTTCCTATGATCTGTTAGCTGTTGACTCTCCCGAGTCAACAGCTAACAGATCATCTGCATAGGAACGGCTTATTTATTAAAGAGCTGTAACAGGAACAGTAAGTGACACTGAGCCAACACGAACACCAAGTGAGAGTGCCTAGAAAACCACTTCAAGGCAATGACCACAGTTACAGCCACTGCAGAAATGGAGGCTGCATACTGACTGCTCATCAGTCTGTTACCTTTTGAAGTTCAGGGTCTGCTGGCCTGCAGTCAGCAATCCCACAGCTTTCACTCTGGGTTCTTGCCTAGATTTGCATGTTGTCTGTACAGGGGCTTGCAACGAGCCAAAATTTGTCAAAGAGCATAATTCAGTTGTTTCATGTTCTGAACCTGAAAGCAGGGTTTGATCTTTGCTTTCATTCTATAACACTGGGCGTGTTTTTCTACAAAGGTTTGAACTTTGAGAGTTTAAACAAGAGAGAAAAGTGTGGAAATGTTCATGCCTGTCTGAGAAAAGCGTATAAAGGTTGTAGTGAGGGGTTTTACAGCCTTAAAACATCTATAATCATTGTAAAAAATAAAGTTGACTACTTCGCAGATTTCACCTATCGCAGGTTATTTTTAGAACGTAACTCCCGCAATAAACGAGGGGGCGCTGTAGATATAATCTCACAGAAGTTAGTATCACTCTGCAAACATGTATATAACAGAGTAACTATATTTACTGTAACTCACCTGAACAGATAACACCAGCATATTTATGGAGTCTGCTGCTTTTTATCTCAGATCTTCTGCACTCAGTTAGAGATGTTTCATTTCCTGAACACGTCACATTATCAAACCAGATTTCTCCGGATCCTTCACCAAAGTGCGTGACATTAACTGGTGTTCCATAGTCCAGCTCATTACAGACTACCTGAGCGTCAGTGAAGTCCCAGCCATCATCAGAGACTGTTCTCCACGAGTTTCTGTGGTAGATTTCAACTCTTCCAGAACACAGAGTCGACCCAGCTAGCCTGACCACTGAACACAAAACACAACGAACATGTGTGTATGTCATTGTTGTCATTATGGGTGGCTGTAGCTCAGGAGGTAGAGCAGAGCGCCTACTGATGGGAAGGTTGGTGGTTCGATTCCTGGCTTCTCCAGTCTGCATGCCAAGTATCCTTGGGCAAGATACTAACCCCAAGTTGCTCAGATGCATCCATCGGAGTATGAATGTGGTTAGAGAAAGTGCTTGAGTGAATGTAGCATGTTGTATGCAGTACTTTAAGTACTCCGGGAGAGTAGAAAAGCTCTGTATAAGAATGAGACCATTTACCATGTTGTTTTAGGTCCCAACTAGGGATGGGTGGCACCGGTTCTGACATAAACAGTAGTAACCAGACTGAAAAGCAGCGCACATTTCGGTGCTTTATTTCAGTGCTTTTTTTTCCTGAGCTGTGATACACTTCTAGCCAATCATTTTACCTTTCCAAGGATAGTGGGCGGGCCCAGGTACGTACGTTCTTTTGGAGCAGAGCTACAGATTAACTCATTCACTGCCAGCCATTGGCAGTGAATGAGTTAAACCCATTGACTCATTCACTGCAATTGACGGCTATAGACTGGCATTGTCTTAAAGATTGTCAATGCTTTCAATGCAAAATTTACCTAGCTTTGAAAAGCTCATACATATTGTTACCTTTCTATGCAAAACATGTTTTATATATATTTTTTATCCAGGTCTTTATGTCTTAAAGACATAAAGACCTGGATGGCCGCTAACTTTCTGCTTCTTAATTCAGATCAAACTGAGGTTATTGTACTCGGCCCTGAAAAGCTTAGAAATATGGTATCTAAGCAGATTCTTACTCTGGATGGCATTACCTTGGCCTCCAGTAACGCTG